CTGATGATTGATGCACAGCATTCTGACCACCTTAGATTTACATCTCACCAACGTCGGACCGTTACGCTGAATTACATTACTCACAACTTTTTGGGCAACGTACCGTTCCAAAATGAAAGGAACCGGCACCTTGTGATAATGTAACACAAGACTAACATGTTTTATATTTGAGCGCAACAATACAGATTTTAGAGGGCCAGAACAAAAAATAAACACAACACAGCCAAATTGAAAAAGCCCAGAACGCAATGGCCAGACAAGCAAAAACAGGCAAAAAAGATTTTTTTTGAAAAAACACACACTCGGTCACTAGACTTGTTTAACAAACAGTAAAAAAGAAACATAACATTCTTTTACTTTTATATGAGATAATCAAGAACAGAATCTTTTATCAGTGAGGCTGAGAAAAGAACAGACACATTGAGAAATCAAAGTTTTTGTGTGATATAAATGAATGAAGCTAAGGGGGAGGCTTTTCTTTCCCTTTTCTCTTCTTGACAGCTTCCTCCCAAGCTTGGATGATCAAACCAACATCTTTGTAATCGTCAGTAATGGGAACCCCCCCCCCCCGCGGAGCCACAGTCGACTACCCACACACATCTCAATGGTGCAAGGGGCCAAACGAACTTGCACCGCAGTAGCGACATCGGCTGCAGCTGAAAAGGTTTGCTCAGCTGCAGCTGAAGATCCCGGGCCAATAGGTAGTCCCGTGCAAGGGAAGCCAGTACAGGATATTTATATTTGTGTTCCTGAAGATGAGGTCGGCATAAAGGATCAGTTAGATGTAATACTGAATATTAGGTAGTACTACTTACCTTCCACCATTGAAGAACCACCTCAGGACCATTATCCACCCCTGCCAAAACTAATGGGTCTTCAACCTTCAAGTTATGCTCCAACTCATTAGCTACTGAGGAGGTGGATTGAGTCTGATAGAGCCGATATATATTGGGCACATGAGTCGCTTGGGCTTCGCGTTGAGGGCTTTGAGGTGATTCAGAGGGAAGATCTAGTTTAGACTGGCGTTGAGTAAACTGTTCATTAAGGTATTTGGTTGCGTGGGTGGTTATTGCATGGTCCGTTCCAAGAGTATGATCAAAAAACCGTGATTGAAGGGAAGGGTGGAAAACAGTGGCCATGAGAAGAGTATTGCAACCAAGGGCTTCCTCGTAGTAAACTTTTGTTTGTTCAATACAAGCATGCAAAAAAGGTTGCATGCGATCATCTTGTGGAAGAGCCGCCGATTGAGCTGTCAAAGAGGTAAGTAGGTTTTGATACTCAGCAAGTACCATACAACCGGTGGGAGCATTGGCCTCCATACGCTTGGTCAGAGTCTTCAATGGCTGATCAGAACCCTTGAGTCAGTAATTATTCAGATGATTGAATTAGAGGTTACAGGCCAACTTACTTGCAATTCATCAAGTAAGTCTCTCGCATCCCTCCAGGCGGAGATAGAGAAAAAAGTCTCTTGGAAATACCCTGATGCTTTCTTGGAAGTCTTCTTATAGTTTCTGGACTTCTTGGCTTGAGACTTCGCCCCGTCCTCTTTCAGCATGTCATCAATAACCTGCACAAGCAAATTGGTTGATCAGTCTCCAACATAGCTTCAAAATCATGGCGACTTACGACCTGATTTTCATACATTCGCTCCCATCTGTCGAGACAGATGTTCCATTGGATACCATGACCAGCTATCAGAGAGCGGCCAGGTCCTTCACCATCACTGCCAACATTTTTATCTCGGATCTCACAATGCGAGGTATTCTCGGGTCTATGCCCTTGGACAGATCTTGTCTGAGGATTTGATCCAAGCCATTTCATGACACATAAGATTGCCTCGGATTGAAACCTTGGACAGGATTTATCCAAGGATATGCATCCAATGATGCCTCAGATTTCTCAACCTGAGGCAAGTATGTTGGCAGCGCATCCGGTTGCTTTCGCCTCGGATCTAATCGACGGGCTTTAAAGTCCTCGCGCCATGCGCTAGATCGTGTGATCTTCTTCACAACAAAGTCCAGCTGGTTTCAAAATAAACATTGTCAGTATGAATTCAAAACACATGATAAGTAATTACATACATCTTGGGTTAACACTTTCAATCCATTTGCTTTCGTCTTGTTTGGCTTAGGTAAGATATTGATGGCCTCCATATCCCAGTAATCGTTGTAAAACTTATAACCCAACAAGGGTTAAACAGAGCTGGAAGAGGATAATCTACTAATATAAGCACTAGTAGAAGTTGTCTGAGACTGCTCTTCTAAAACAACACAATCAGGAAAGACTCTGTTGTATTGAGTACAGATAAGGCACCAGAGAAATATATCTTCACACGTATTTTAACTTCAAAAGCACAATTTGTATTACTATCAACACTGCTATAGTGTTATTCCCAAATGATAACTGAAGAAAGAAGCAATATCTTATTGATATTATTCCCTATGAGTCTTTATGACTATAAAACTAAAGTAAATTTCTCTTTATAATTGTAATAAAGGGCGTATTTAAGTGACCAGGTACTATTAGAATAAGTTTATAATGATAAACAAAATAATAATGGCGTAAATGATAAAGAAAAAAGGGGAACAACAATCCCAAAATCCTCTCAAAGTATATATAACAATGTACTCCAACTTTTACAATGGTCAACAGCCTCAAAACCAATCAAATCCGCCCAGAAATCCCTAAAAGCCTATGATGACGCAATGTAATGATTTTGTTACTAATAAATGATGTAATTTTCACAGCCAAAAGTGATCAATGACGCAATAATATGATGTACAGCACTTCTTATGATGAATACAGGTGATTTTTTCCTTGTAAACTAGCTGAAAACCAATTTTTGAGATTACAAATTTTTTTCAGATGTGCTCCAATTTTTGATTACTAAAGTGCACCTTGTAGCCCTCGTGTTACTGATCATTTCTGACACCTATATGACCTACTTCTGATGAGTGATGAGTAAGATATCGAGTTGTGAAGTTAAGGTTTTGAGCATTACATGTTGACTTGTGACTGTAAATTCAAGATTCACACCAATTCTTTATTTGCCTTATAACTTTTTTCATACACCTCCGCTACTATTGATTTAAAGTTTTTAAATTATGTAATCCACTCTTCTGCGTTGAATGAGCCATCTACCAACCTAATCTGACGTCATTTGACATATGTAATAAGCTGAAAACCTTCATTTCTGACGAAATTCACCCATTTTCTCCACTTTTCACAGCTGTTGCTCTCTTTCTCTTGCTCAAGTAATATGACATCATCTTCTATAACCTTAAAAATCCTGGAAAAACCTCTTGGCAACCTTAAATTCCATTACTACCACTATTAATAACTTCTGTTTCTTCTTATCAACCTTCAAGATTAAAATTTTCACAGTATAATATAATGTTGTTCTTTCATATTCTAACCAGATTAAAATTTTCACAGTATAATATAATGTTGTTCTTTCATATTCTAACCTTTGTACCTATATTTTCGAATTTTTCTTATGTTTTTCTTTCTTTCTTTTTGTAATGAGTTTGTGAATAAACTATGATAATCTTAATAAGTAATGTGAAATAAAATGATGTAATGTTAACCTTATGACCAATACATAAGCCTACAAGAGCTTCAATTGATCAAAAACCTCCATTTTGAATTTTCTTTCCTGCTAAATCCTTCTAATAAACTGGTAAACTGCTAATTGTGAATTTTTTAATTGATCCCATAAATTGATCACCACATTGTCCTCAGCGGTGTCATCTGGGTTTTGTTCCAATTCGCTCACGTCGTCTTCGTCATGTTCAACATCAGACTCTTCTTCGTCTGATGGTGAGGAACCGACAAGGATAGCTGGGTCAATATCATCTTCAGTATCATTTTTGGTAATGGTGGGTAAGTTGTCAGGTGAAGGGAAGAAACCAAGAACTGAGTGTCGCTGATTATTAGTCGGAAGTCCAAGGGCTGCTATCCCGGCGTTGACAATTAGGCCAATCTTGTGACACATGCATTTGATGTGCATGGTGTCAGGATCCCCTGCGTAATCTGAAGAATAGCTGTTGTGTTCTTGAAGTTGATTGTGCATCTCATTTGCCAATGTCATGTTGTTTGAAGCCGAGTCAGTGGCATGAGCTAGCATGTAATACATCAAAATGAGCAGAAGGTATTAGCAAACTTCTTCACATATAAAACAGGTGAGTGAAAAACTTATCTTCTTATAAATATCTCGCTTCTTCAGTACGGTGATCAGTGGCTCCGCAAGCCACGCACCCTTATGATGATGTGCAACTCGTTTCAGGGTGAGATGGCGAGATACAAAATTCCAGTCCTTGTCGATAAAGGTAGAAACTCCACCTATAAAAGCCCATAAATTACCTTTCACAGTCCACACATCGTGGGTTAGTGTGAACTTTCCAGGAATGGACTACATCAATACCAACCCGAAATTAGAACAGTTATCAGATATCTCAATAATAAAAACCCAATAAGAGAAACACTTACTTCCAGCTCACTATAGACCGTGTCTCTTAGATTAAGATGGAGGTGTTTTGCCTTGTTGGCGGTCCACTTACGGTTGTAAAGGCGAGCATCAGGTCAAGCATAGTAGAAAGCCGCTTGAAGTAGTGGGTCTTTGATTCGAGACCATGGCAAGGCTTGCCGTACCTGCCATAGTGTCAACAGACAATTGAATGTCTTCATATCAAATTTGGGAATGACAGTAACAAAGTTGTTCATAGCTGAAAATTTATGAGCGTTTGCTAATTTCTGTGAGTTGACCTCGTCAACACTTGGTGGAAGCTTGCAGCCACAAGCAATTGCTTTGTTCCGACGTGGGCACCCAACCTTTGATCTTCCAGGCTGATTGGACCCATCGCGGTGGATTTTCAGATTTGATTGTGTTGTTCCATGGCCTCGACAAACTTTTCCACACCAAAGGCAAGTGTAATCCAGAGGACACGCCGGATCCTAGATCAAAACATGATGTAAAAAAAGGACAAGTGTCAGTGTATTGATCACTCATGTGATTTTCATCATTATTGAAATGAAATGACAAAACAATAAAAGAAAATAAAAGTGCAAAACAAAAGACTTACATCTTCTTCACCACATGTTGGTTCTCCAAAGTATAAACCAACATCATCATGTACTTTGTCCTTTAGTTCCAGGGCGCCTTTGGGTTTCTTTTTCTTGTTACGGATCCTGGCGTTCTTGTCGTCAGAGTCTTGGAGCAGGTTGGCGGAAGGAGCATGGCTTGATACCAAGGGAGCGACGCTCTAAACACATTAGAAGGCATTAGTGAGATCAATCCTATTGATCTTATCTAATGCAGTACTCACATGTTGTCGGTTTGATGGTCCTGAGGCAGCGGTGGCCGTGGATGCGGTGGATACAGCCTGTAACAACAAAAGGAATTGAAAAAATAAAACAAAATGAACTGGAGAAACTTGAGAATTGAAAATGGGGTGAGACACTTACTTTCTTTCCTTTTGATTGAGGAAGGGAGGTCTTCTCCTGGCTGACAGCCTTCTTTTGCTTGATACCACTTCGCTTGGACCTTTCGGGCGGGTTGGGGACGATGTGACTCACCACGGTCTTGCAATCCGATCTAGAGGTGGATCAGCCACGTTTTTGGGCACTTGGTTTGGGCGCTGAGCTTATTGACGAAGGGACTTGCGGAGAAGGAAGGAAAAGGCCACGCCGACTGTCCTGTGAAGGTTGAATCATACCAGGTTCCAATCGTAGAGGAGTAGTAACACAAGAAGTTCGACGAGGTTGGGATTCATCGGTCTCACATCCAGATTCGCCACGCATGTTGAAAAGTATGAGATGAGATCTGGGACTTGGAGAGATTGATCAATATATCTAAATGATGAAAACAGTTTAAAACCGAGAGAATTAGAATCAACTATGATAAACCAATGATAACACAAACAATCAAAAGGAAGAGGAGACTTACATTCTAGTTGTTGAACGGTTATCAGGATGAAAAACAAAACAAAACAAGAAATTAGAATCAAAATGATTCAAAACAAATCATAAACAAATTGAAGATTACAAGATGAGATTTGTCACTTACATTGAATACATCTGACTCGTTTGACCATCGGTTGGGGTTGAGGGTTGGAGTTTGTCGATCGAGTTGATGATGCAACCAGGTGGTCACATCATCATCGTCCATGATGGTGAGGTGACCTATAGGTTGATTCAGCAAGGAAGATCGCCGATAACGGAGAATCTTGCTGACAACACATGTAACGTGCCGAATTTGGGAACCAAGGATGTCACAGGAATCCTAACGTACCTACCAAAAAAAAAACCTGCAACACAAATTGCTAACGCACCTGTAAGTAGGTCTTGTAATTTGGCCCGGGCCAGTAACGTAACCCAGTTACGGTACAGCGCAATAACAGTTGAGATTAATGTAACCGGTCCAACGTTGATCTCACTGAAGCTCATCTACTCCTTTTGCTCAACTGTCTTTGCTCACTCCTTTTTAACACTCACTGCTTTCTTTCTTGACTGTTGGTTGTTGATCTTTTCTTACTTGTCAATTCCTTTTTTCTTAACAGTCTTTACTTGGTCTTTTTGAATCATCACTATCCTTTTTCTCAACTGTTCTCAACTCAGTTGTTACTCTTCTTTCTCTTGAGTCTCTTGACTCGGGTTCTTTTCACTTGTTGCTCTGCTATTTCATAACAGTCCTTACCATGAAAGGCAATGTTTTTGTGCCTTTCTATGCTTCTTCTGATTGTGCAATCATTTTGAAAGTCATGAAGAGGCTTGCTGCACCTCTTCTTAGGTTAAGACATCGAGATCAAGCAAGGAATAACATTGATGAGGTTATGATAACATCAATCAATAACATTGATCAAGATGTGATTGAGCATCAATCGTGAATGCTTTGATCCAAAATGATGTGCCAGCAAAACCTATCTTTGAGCAAGATCAAACACAGGTCACCCACAGATATATCAATACTGGATTGACTGGTGCCCACACCACTGCACCAGGCAGACTTAAAGCGGTCCAGGCATTGTACTTATTCAGCCATCCCGTGTACTTAAGTGCTTAGGTATGTCCTAAGCAGCTTAAGTAGCTTAGGTACCTAGCCTATGCTTGGGCCCAAATGTTGACCATTTACAAAAAAAAGATCAGTGCCTCAGATCATCCCAAGAAGATATGGATTGATTAAGCTTGACCTTCTGATTCTACCTGTCTAGGTATTAGCTTGAGATAATGGCATTGTGTTATCTGTTTTTGAGCTTGAAATCAAAATTTTGTTTGGTTTCTGGGGAGGTAGTACACAGTAGACTTTACCTACTGTAATCAAAAAGATCAAACTGAGATCCTGCAAGCCAGAAACACAGTTTCACCTACAGTCAGCTTTTGGAAGTCATTCCATGGTTCCATGCAAATGGTGAAAGTCAGAGTGAGACTTTTCAACACTTTTCAAAAATTTATTACAACACAAGGATCAGTCAACCCAAAATCAGTTGTTGGATCAAGCCCAAGACAACCGGTAAAGTCAGTAGCCAAACCAAGCAAAAGGCAGATGTCAATTTCCCAAAAATTGAAGACCAGCTTGTGAAGTGGATATGTATGTGCAAACAGATTGGCCACTATGTCACCGGTGATCAGATCCAGGAGAAGTGGTGTCACTTTGCTTGGCTTGCAAAAATTGACAGCGAGAAGTGGCTCACTATTTGAGGCAGGTTGGCTTGACTCTTTCAAGGCTCAACATAACTTGTGTGAATTCAAATAACACAGTGAGGCTGTGTCTGCCAAGCCTGAGACTGTTGAAGCTGAGAAGGAGCACATGCTTGAGATCACTGCCCAGTACAAACCAGTTGATGTTTACAACCTGGATGAGACCGGCTTATTTTATGTGTCAGTCTTGTTCTTTTTATCCGTATCTGTATTTTTATTGGTTCTCCTTCTATACTTACAGTACTCACAGCTAAATATGTACACTTACATAGTTTTCCTACATACTTTTTCATATTTTTTTTGGCAGGGAAAAAAATATTTGGGTCCCAAAGTAACTACTTTTGGAGACCCCTTACATTAATGCAACAACCCGTCCTGAAAAAATTGTGTCAGTCCCGGGTTGGGGTCTGGGCTAAACTGGTTTGGCTGGATCCGGCCCGCATATTGTGGGCAAAGGGGAATTTCGGAAAACACACTCTCCAAGTTCACTCGACAGACAAAATCATATCATGTTTTGATTTCAAAAGGCTACAACACAACATGTTTTTTTATTTCAAGAGACCACCTTTTGGGTATATTAATATTTTGTTAAAACTTGTAAGTCTAAATTCAGAAATTGAAAACTTGTAAAGATGAGAATACTATAGCACCCATCAATAATACCTTGTTCAAGATCTCAAGGCATACAAGAGCTTTGAAAGTATCTGGTTTGAGACCATGGCAATGTTTAGTTTATATAACACGGTCCCAGTGGAGGAATGACTCAAGTGACCAGGCTTTTTAAGTACACATGGTGCCTGACAACTTAAGGTGGTGGCCTGTTTGGCCAGGTATGATGTGTTTCACTTGGGGGTGTACAAGGATCTGTTCTCCAAAGCTTCCAGAGAGAGACAGGGAGGAGGAACAACTGCTTCAAGGAGCCGTAGTTGGTCACTGTACAGCTGCTCAAAGCAGACAGTTACACTACACCAGATGACAGCTTTCCCCAGGGGGAAAAGTAATGTGCACATAGAAAAACATGGGTAGAGTACTTTTCTATACCCGGAAAACATTTCATTTGATATACCTATGTAAAAAGTTTGAGATTGGGCAATTGGGCAGCTTTGTTTGAGCTGGTTCAGCTGTAAGTATTCAGACCCAAAAGAAGCCACCACAGTGCCAAACTTCACAAATTCACACATTAAAGGCCCAAGGCTAGGGACTAAGTGAAGTTTGCCATAGTGTACAGAATCTGGAGTTCCCATTTTTTACATTTGATCTATGCTTACAAAACAAATTCTTATGCATTCTCCGCAGTGTATGTGAACATGTATGTAAAATCTTGCAGATATTGACAGGTGCCATTTACATAATTTATTACTGATGGATCATGCTTGCCTGTTGGATGGGGCTTGAGAAGCATTTTTGTTATAGATTCAAATGTATTTCACATGATCATAGGAAGGTTGTTATCTGTGGGTACAGAAAAGAATGGTTTGTATGGACATAGATGAGTTTATCATTATGGGTATAGAAAATTACTCTACCCATATTTTTCTATGCACACACTACTTTTCTATACCCCTGGGAAAAGATTTCATTTGGTGTAGTGTTCTAGACAGTTGTGAGTGCCTGTACTGGTGAGAGTGAAAGATAAGGTGTACCAAAATAGATTTACATACAAACTTACATAAGTGAATTCTGACTTGTTTGGATTGTCAGATAACCTGCTGTTGATTTGGAAGGCACACTGCATAGATATATTGATAGCCTGCCGGGTTGTGTGTTTTGTCCATAATGAAACAGTCTATGTGATGGGTTGATGACTGCTGGGGTCCTTATCAAAGCATTCAATTGACATTTTTTATTGGAAATGGTTAAACAGAAAGTAACACATGTGTGGGGCAAGAAATATCTGAATTTCATGCAAGGATGTTTCTTGATAAGAAAAACTGAGGTTGTCAAAGCAGTGCATCAAAGATTGAATACATCAGAAAGAAATTTACAAAAAAAAGTTTCAAGAGTATTGAGCACTGGAGGCCACACTATAAAACAGCCCATGTCTTCCACTCAAAATTATTACAATCAACAGTATTTTCCTTGCTTTACACTTGATATCACTTATATATCTCATACCTTCAATATTGAACAGTTTGGGCTCTACACAACATGATTCAAACCCCCTTCATGATACTCAGCTTTTTGGTTGGTATTTGCTCTGTGGTTTCACTTGGAACAAATGATTGTGAGTCTTGTGATGTAAGGTCAACACCGGAACCGCTCCGATACGATACCAATTTCAGCCCATCCTTGTATCGGAGCGGTGTTACCGCTATGGTGGCTCCGATATCACTCCGATATTTTTTTTTAACAAACTCTCTCAAGATATCGGAGCGGTAAAACCGCTCCGATACCGCTATATAGCGGCGATATGGCTCGAAAAAAGAAACAAAAAATGAATTTCAAAAAAACCAAAAGATAAATCAGAAAAACCAAATAAACTATCCAAAAGGTAATATAACCAAAAAAAAACTATCCAAGCAAAAGAAAATCAAAATCTTCAATATGATGAAAATGTAAATCAAGAGGAAAATAAACAGAACCCAAGAAATTCTCTATTCCTTTTGGTTTCAAGAAACCTAATCAATCACAAATCCATCTAAATCTTATAAAATCAAACCCAATACCCAATCAAAATGTTATGAACAAGTTTTCCACATCCTAAACTCTCAAAATAACCCCTCAGCCTGGCTCCCCTCAAATAAAAACCCCCTCAAACCGTTTCTTCAACCTAAATCTTTAGTTTTACTAACAATCAATCCATCTAAAATCTTAGCCCCTTCCAAAGCTAAAAAGAAATCACAAAACTCAATCAACAATCCTTTCTCCAAGAAAACTAAAAAAAAGACTTAATTCATCTTTAGGTTTTTTTGGTGCATAAGGGAAAAAAAGGTTACATACCAATTTCCCATCTAGAAGATTTAATAACTTGATAAATCATTTAAATTAATCCAATCGAATTGATTTGACAATCTACCACCACTTCCATATCCTTTGAATTCCCCGGACAACTAGTATATATCTAAACATCAACCCCCCGAAAAAAATACAATAAGTTGAGTTCATTTTTCTTCTTTGGGGAAGAAGAAGAGAAAAAAGTAAAAAAGGGACAAATTGTATCAGGATACCTCATAGCAATCTCTAAACTATTTTGTTTTGGATCATGATGATAAGACGATCTTCGATTCCGATCTCGATTCCGGTCTCGATTCCATTACCTTTGGAAGATCAGAAAGTGGGACAAACCACAAGTTGGCCACCACTGAAAAAGTTTCCAAGCGCTGTCCATCGTATGAGAATTGAGAATCGGTACTAGATGGTGGTGTTCATGGTTTTGAAGTCGATGTGGCTTATACAAGGGAGGTGGTGGGTAAGAGATCAATGGCTGTGGACAGACCCTGGACCGGGTCCAGGGTATGTATGGTTTTTAACCGCTATATATCGGACCAACCTCGGACCCGGCCGTTATCGGAGCGGTCACTCCGATACCATTTTTTGGGCCTCTGGATGGCGAAGCGGTTCCACCGCTATATATGGCGGTGGATATATTGGTGTAAAAACCGCTCCAATACCGCTCCAACACCGCTAAAAGTGGCGGAGCGGTTCCGGTATTGGTAAGGTGATCTTTGTAGTTGTTGAACTTATTTTTCAACATTTGGACTTGGACAGCTGTAGTCAACAAAGTGGCAGAAAACTTCAGCAGGGGCTAT